TCTTCTCCCTTTCTATGGGCTGCCATTTTATACCCTTATCTTTTGATAAATAGACATTAATTTTTATTTAATTTTATAATAGCTCACTTTTATTACATTTTTTCTTTTATGGTTAGCACTTTTTGCATTCTGTTTAAGAAATTTTTTTCCATCCCTAGGTCAGAAAAGTTTCCAAGGTTTTCCTCATAAAGCCTTATGTTCCTTTTTACACATACTATTCTCAGTCCTTCCTGAATTGATTTTTGTCTGATGTGCGAGGTAGGAGTCTTAAAGTGTTAAGGTGCATTTTCCCATGTGGTCCTTATTCATTTCAAATATGCAAATACAGATCTTTTACTTATTTAAGAAAAATAACACTTAGCCGGGTGCGGTGGCTTACACGTATAATCCTAGCATTGTGGGAGGCCAAAGTGGGAGGATTGCTTGAGCTCAGGAGTTCAAGACCAGCCTGAGCAGCAACAAAACCCTGTCTCTACTAAAAATAGAAAAAATTAGCTGGGCGTAGTGGCGTACCTATAGTCTCAGCTACTTGGGAGGCTGAGACAGGAGGATTGCTTGAGCCCAGGAATTTGAGGTTGCAGTGAGCTATCATGACACCACTGCACTCTAGCCTGGACAACAGAGTGAGACCCTGTCTCAAAAAATAAAAAAAAAAGAAAGAAAGAAATGAAAAGAAAAAGGGCACTAAAGTAACCACCTTTCCTAAAATCAAAATATATAATGACTTTATGATGTTGTAGAAAAACATACTTTTAGAGCAATCAGTACTACTATCATTTAGGAGGAAAGACAAATCCATTCTTATTGATATTGCTAAATCCCTTTTAAACCTAGTAAATATCTGTTATGTCTCATTTTAAATATATACCCATTTGTCTAATTGATCTATACCTTTCCTATCATTATCCTCTACAGATGAGTCTTTGTTGAAGCAGCTAAAACTAAGGCTAAATCCAGCCCAAAACAACAGCTTATTTTGTCAGTCACAGTGTAAGAGAAATCATTTGAGGCAGACATTTTAATCATTCAAAAAGACTAAATCACTCCAAGTCAGGCGGTTAATTCGTACAACTCCACCTTGTTCTGGCCTGTCAAATACAAGGCATTAATCATTGAAGCCTGGCTTTTTAAAGAACTGTATTGATGGACATTATTTAATGACAGCATCTACTCTAAACATTTTCCAGGTACTGTAATGGCTTCTTCAGTACTTTGAAGGCTCAGCTGCATTTGTCCTGTCCCACTACGCTAAGCTTTCTCGGGGTAGCACTGTACCTGTCTCATTTCAGCACTGAATCCCCCAGTTCCTGCCTAGCTTAGTGCCTGGATATTCAGGGGCTCAGTAAATTTCCGGTTGTATTAGTTTTCTTTTGGTTCATAACAAATTACCACAAATTCATTATTGAATATATATATTCAATAGATGGATTCCTTTGAGAATTCCAAATTTGTTTTTGGGACTGGAGGTGCTCTCCTCTACTAGATGCTAAAAAACTGTTCCTAAAGCAGTTTGTAAATTAAGAGTGAAGCTCTTTAAGCAAGGTTTATTTACCTCTGTTGGAGGTGGACAGAGTTGATGTGCTTTCACTCTAGCAAGTAACTCCCTACCCTCCACATCATCATTCTAAGCTGCAGGTTCCTTAGGGGAGCATTGTTCTATCACACACCTCTCAAACTTCCTTTAGTTGAGAACATAAATCTGGTCTCCTAAATTTCACAACAATATTAACTCTACTTCTGGTCTGTCGGGATCAAATGCATCATCTCTCCTATCTTTTGAGTACAGAATATTTCCGTTTAACATTTTCCAGAGTTTAATTTGTTGCTGTTCTCATCTACTGAAAATGTGGTTGATAATGGACATTGGAAGAGACATGATGTTAAGGTCTGTAAACTCCGTACAGTCTAGCCCCTGTTGGCAGTGGTTATACACTACCAACAGGGATTAGACAGGCAAAATAAATGAGTGAAATGGACCAGGGATAAGAAAAATAACAACATTGCCAGGGAAGTAAGGGATAACTGAGCTTCAGGATTGGGGACATTGTGGAGTGGTGGGGCTGTGGCAAACTGGAGTATGACTTTCAAAGGGTACAGCACTACTTAGGAAAACCATTTGGAAAACTGGCCTAGGTTTCCTTTCATTTATTCCTTGTGATTTTTCAAGAGAAACTGGAAGTTCAGAATTTATATGGAGTTTCCAGATTTTTAAAATCTTGGCACCTAATTTAAGCATTTTTGAATGTGTGGCCCAAAACTACACAGGCCAAGAGGCCAAGTAAAATACGTCTGTGGGCTGATTCAGGTACTGAGCTATATAGATTCTAACTGATGCTCTATATTTCCGTCAGATTTGATCATCTAAAAGCAGGATATTCTTACTGTACACCAAAGTAAAGTTCTGGTTGTATTAGTTTTCTTTTGGTTCATAACAAATTACCACAAACTGAGCAGCTTAAAACAACACAATTTATTTTCTTAGTTTCTCTGGCTCTGAAGTCTGGGCGTGGTATGGGTGGCTAAATGCTCTGCTCAGGGTCTTGTTAGGCTGAAATCAAGGTGTCAGCTGGGGCTGTGTTTCTCATGTGGGGTTCAGGGTTCTCTTCCAGGTTTACTTGATTGTTGGCAGAATTCACTTCCTTGAAGTTGTAAAACTGAGGTCTCCATTTTCTTGGTAACTATTGGCCAGGGACTACTCTCAGTTCTTAGAGGCTGCTTATGATAGGCCCTGATAGGCAATGCACAGCATAAATGTTTGCTTTCTTCTAGGCCAGCTGGCATGTGTCTCTGTAATTTCTAGTTCTACAATTGATTTGAAAAAACATTGCTTTTAAAGGCCTTACTGGATTAGGTGGATTAGGTCAGGTCTATGCAGAAAAATCTTCCTTTTGCTGTATATGTAACATCTTCTTTTTGTCATATAAGTAGTTAAAAATAAAATGATAGAGAGTCCTAATAAGAAAATACTCTAGAAGTATAAAGAGATCACATACTAGAGAAAATTTTAAAAGTAAACACACATTGGAAAAGTTCACCTTTGTGAATCAATCAAGAAAATAACCAGTTATCTGTTTCTTTTGTCTCTGATACTACTGGGGGAGGGGAAATAAATAGGTACAGCCTTTCTGAAAAGGAGTTTAGTAATAATAGATGTTAAAGTTGGAGAGAGAATATGCATGAATGGATAAATGAACAGACACATGAGCAGTACTATGCTTGTGTGTGTACACACATATATACATCATGTTCAATGATAACTGTAAACCCATGAGATAAATACTAATACTATTATTTTCATTTATCAGATATAGAAAGCTGAGGCATAGAGAGATGCCCTCCAAAGTGTTGTTAGTGGTTATTACCATGTGATAGGATTATATAAAGGTGAATACTTTTTTGTCTTTATGTTCTTCTAAATTGTTATAAAATTTATGGATTTTTAAGCATTTATAAACGGGGAAAATGGCAATAAGGCTGCCTTGAAATAAAAACTCACCTATATTGATGGGAGTAATATAAATTAACATAACTCTTTTGGAAAGCAACATGCCTCTAACTTCATTTCAGAGAATCTGACCTTAATAATCATTTTAAATATGGAAAAAACTATACATATGAACAAATCTATTGTATCATTATCTAAAGTGTGGGAAAATTGGAAATTTAAATTTCCACAGTAAATAGTTGCGTAAATCCCTCAGATGAAATTATCTTAAGACATTAATGGTTCTAGCCCTATCACATTTTCCTGAAACGGTTAACTCCATCTTTTTTGGTATTTTCACACGTCCTTAGCGCTTTTCTGAGACTTCCCTACCTCACTGCTGTTCAAGTTTCCTCTGCACCTAAACCCTCTCCAGCATCCTGGCCCCCGTGTTGATGACCCACAAGACATACAGCATGTTTTCTATGTCTGTAAGGGAAGAAAATTCACTTGAGGGACTTTTCTTTCTCAAGTTACATCAGGTCAGTCTGAATGCAAGATAGAAAAATTGAACTTGGAAGCTGGGGAAAAAATTGTCTAAAACACAATGATATGTAGACTAGAAAATGATTTTTATCTTTATTATTCCATTGATGTGTAGGCCTGAGATTATTCTCAGAGCAAACTAGTTTCCCTGTTGATCCTAAAATTTTCAACAAAAATTGTCACTTATGTATAAGGTTAGTTATTTAGTGATTAAGAAATCATAATGCTTTGGAGAATTATATCTTGAAAGAAAAGCTTTATGTATGAAATCTTATAGACAGTGTTGGATATTTCAGAATTTGGAAGTTTTTTGTTTCACTTTGTTGCTTTGCTTTAACTGACAACTGTCAGTGTGAACTTAGGGTTAAATTGTTCTGTGGGATATGTTATTTATTACATATCTGATAGACATTAAAAGATAGAAGTTAGGCAGGCAATTAAATATATAAATCTAAAGTTCAAGGAAAAGGCTGCAGATGGAAGTTTAAGTTCATGAGTTGTGAGATCATATATGTAAGGCCATGTAACCAGACATGATCACCTAAAGAGGTCTTAACCAGATGTCCAACAATCTTCAGAAGAAAATTTGAGGAGGTCCAAAAAAGGCTTGAGAAGTGTCTTGAGGCCAGGAATCTAGGGGGGCCTGAGGGACTCATGTTAAGAATATAACTGATTAACCATTGATTCATTGTGAGCCACTTGCCTGCATGAAATGTTTTAAGTTACTCTTTTATTTAATAGTTCTTTGGTTTTAAAGAGTATACATGTGTTTCACAGGAAATTGATCTTCATAAGGTCAGTGATGCCTCCACTGTTTTATCTTTTGAATCATTTGAACAGTTATTACTTGGCATTTATTTTTTTTCTCCAGAATCATGTGATTTTTAACCATTAAACATTCTAGTCATTATTATAAACTAATTTAATACCCAGTTTGGTATATTATTCTGATTCTGTTGTCTACATTGCAAATATTACTGACTGACTTCATGAGAGTCACACAAAATATCTGCTTTTCTTTCATTCCTAGGCAAATACTGTGGTCTCGGGTTGCAAATGAACCATTCGATTGAATCCAAAAGCAATGAAATGACTGTGCTGTTCATGAGTGGAATCCATGTCTCTGGAAGAGGATTTTTGGCCTCATATGCAGTTGTAGATAAGCAAGGTAATTTTCACCTTATACAGTGGTTCCCACATTTTGCAATTTCTAACAGCAAAAATGGAATGTTTCTTTAATTACCTGTTATCTGAAGTCGGAATAGAGCAGAAAGACTGAGCAGTTAATAACACATATATAAATTTGACAAATAAAATTAGAGCAGTTTCAGAATTCCAGAAATTAAAAGTGTATTAACTTTTATATAAAGTCTATATTTAATACTTCCCTCCCTTTGCTGATTTTTTACTTTTATAAAATTGGAACACTAACTATAATAACTTTCTAAAAATTTATGAATTATTGAAATGTATCATATCAGTTTAAAGCTTTATTATCCACAGTTTACTATTACATAGTTCTGTGTTAAAGACCATATTACCATTCTTTTCAAAGAATAGTCTCATATCACCAGTAGTACCCTGGGAAGTCCTGAGATAATACAAAATAAACAGGAGGTATTTTCTGAATTGCTAATATGTAGAGTATGATCAAAAGCAAAACTATTAAGTAGAATGAAATCCCAAATTTACCTGAATCTCTAAGATAAAGTACAAGAACTGTATGAAATCTCTCACATGTTTTGGCTGCTGTGGCATGTGTTCATTCCCCCTCCCCACCCACCCACGTTAGGGGTACTGTGATAAGAAAGTTTAGGAAGTATTGCTGGTCTAATAATATATCAAAACAATCATTTAAATTAGAAAATAGGTGATTATTTTTACATTAAGCAATGAATTAACTAAGTTGACTGTGTAAAATTAAAAATCAGCTTTTACTTTATATTTTATAAATGAGAAAATTATCAAGAATTTTCTGGGTGTGAGAATTTGGGGCACTTGGAATGACTAAGGGCAAAGCAAGCTATTCCTCCTCAGCTATATAGGTTTGAGATAAACACCACGTTTTGTTAAAAGTTTCACGTAGAACGTGGTAGAGTAGAGAGCTATTCTGTATGAAGAGGGAGGACTCTGCTTTCACTTAGTTTATAAGCTATAGAACAAGATGGGAAGGCTAATAAAATCCCTCAGAGTGAATGAGAAAGAAAACTCTTTTGCATGGAATAATGGAAAGAAAAGAACTGGAAACATTATGCTAAATGAACAATTAATATATTTGACAGAGCCAGGAGAACTAAGGCAATGTGAAGTTGTGGAGAGGACACTAGGTAGCCCTGGAATCTAAGCCTGTCTCTGCCTCATGCTAGCTGGGCGATTTCTGGCCAGTGGTCTTCCCTCCGTGAGTTGTGTCTGTGACTGGGTTAGTTGTGAGGACTGACTCTGATAATACTTGTGTAGCGGCTGGAGACACATGCCCTGGCAGGCGCACACGAGGTTAGTTTCTTCCCCTTCCACACGCACATGCACATGTTCCCCCACCACCAAAGGGATAATGTAGAGAACACAGGTGAGATGACAATGAAGTCTTAGGTTACAGGTGAGAGGACAGAAAATAATTAATTTGTTTCCTATTCTCTTTGAGTTTCTTGGTCTTAATATACGCTTAAATTATTTATTTTGATTTATATTTTCTGTTTTCTCTCTTTGTTCTTTATCAATATGAAGGTTCTGGAAAATATTCTGTCTTTAAAAAAAAAGATTCTTACATTAAATATTTAAATTATGGGGCTTTTTGAGCCACAGAAACCTGAATGTCCTGTATTAAAGTTACCTAAGAATTGACAGAGATCTCAGATAACAAAATCAGTATGTTATAGACTTACAAACTTTTATGCCAAATTTCAAAAGGCCGTGTCACTCACTGTTTCAGGTGACTTTTAGCTTCCATAGGTTTTTGAAATATCCACCTTAATCAGGAAATTCTTGATAATAACACTTTTCAAAGTCATAATTATCTTCGGAAATCCTCAATTCACAGCTTTTTTCTAAAGTCTTATTTATTCTTTTTTTTTTTTTTTTGCCTTATCCCATTCATCAAGCATTAGTTTTATTTGAACTAGAGTAAACTGGTTAAACTATATTCAGAGCACTAGTTAAATTTCTTATACTTCTTGGGTGGCCTTTCAGTCACAATTTCTCTTAACGACTCATTCATTTGAAGGCTGGTTGGCTTTGGTTGAGATCCTCCGTGTGTTTCCATCCAGGAAACTTAGCTGCCACAATGAATTCCATGAATATTTTCAAGGAACATAACTACATGTCCCAGCTTAGAAGTCTAGTTGAAGATTTAAGAGTATTTGGGAATAAAAAGATGGTGAAAAATCTTGCTTCAACAGCTACCTTGTTTGTAACATTTCACAAAGACTTGTTAATGTTAGAGTGAACATTGTTGATAGAGTCATGTTTTTGTGTAAGATAAATTTTCATTACCTTGTGCAAGAGCCCATTGCAAAATTATATTCCCTTGATGCATTATTTCCTCCTCTCTGCTTGGTACTGGGGAAACAGCAGTATATGAGACAGACAGGGTGCCTTCATGGGGCTCACACAACAGCATTGGAAAAAGACATTAAACCAATGGTTACTTAATTGCAATTATGATATAAGTATGATGAAAGAATCATGCAAATGAAAAGAAGCCAGAGGTATTCAGGGAGTGGAAGAATGATAAAGAGCAGAGCTTTCCTGAGTAAGTCACTTTTAAGCTGAGAACTGAAGGATTAATTGGAGGTTCCAGTCAGACAAGGAAGGAAGAACAGTCTAGGGAAGAGAACACAGGTGCAAAGGCCTTATGGTGGGAAGGAGCTTTGGGGGAACTGGAGAAAAGGCCAGTGTAGCTAGAATGAGTGGGGGGCTGAGTAGGGCTCAAGTAGGGCTTCAAGTCCTTATTCTGAACCTTATAGAAAATGTAAGGGTTGGAGCTTTTTGCTAAGAGTGTCTGGAAGCTGTTAGAGCAGAGTAATGTGGGACTGGATTTCTGGTTTTGTTTACTTGTTTTTACAGTTTTCCTTGCTCTGTGAAGAGTCGGTTGAGGCAAAGAATAAATGTAGGGAAGCCCATTAAGAGGCAGTTAGAGAAGATCAGGTCAGAGATCACTGAATTAAGAGGTCTCATTAACTCTCCAGAGCTTTGCCAGTTTTAAAAGACTTTGGAATCAGACATATCTTCTATAAGGAAACATTTCAAAGAATTAGGATTCATCCTGCTGGATTTTAAGTTGCAGTAACTTAGACATAAGGAAGCCCTCTTTGATGAAGCTCTGAACTATTATAATGCTTGTGTCTAGGACATGGTATCCAGTGTCTTCCAATTTTGTTTCAAGTTTTTATTAAACTTTTTTATAAAGCTATATGAATTTTTTTTCTCTCTGGTTTTAATGATCGTTGAACAGGAGTGTCCAGCCTTTTTCATTACCAGTTAGATATCTCTTTTCACTTTCACCTGTAAATCTCATTTTTGAAAGACTGTATTTGAATTAATGAAAGGAAAAGTTCTCATTTCCCCATTGGGTAGCAAGTAAAGATGCATATAAATATGAATTAAGACTTCTACAATTTATGAGAGGACTAGTATTTCCACTCCAAGTTGATACAATCCCATCAAATTCCAGCTTGACTTTCTGAAAAATTAAAGATGTATGTGGACTTTTGAGGTATCTTGGACATTCATAGTAGTAACCACTATTTAGAAATTCTATAAAGAGAATCTCCTATGATCTTATTGAGAGAGGCTGAACCAACTACTCAGTGGTCCAAACTTGGTAACTCAGATCTCTTAATCTAGTAATAATAAATGCTACTGACATTTCATTCTAAAAAGTAGATTTAAAACAGCATTTACCATTGGACTCGAAAAATAAAATGAGTTTAGTATATGAGTGAACTAAATTCCTATTTTTGATTCTTTATTCAATGATGGTCAGTTTCTAGGAAGACCTCAACATTTCTCTGATGATTTTGGATGATGATTTTTTTAAGTTGCTCTAGTTATAGAACAGTGAAATCAGAAGACATATCTATTAATACATTTATATGAAAGCTTCAAGTCCTTCAAGGCAGTATTTATTTGTATGCACCATAATTGAGATGCATGTGTGTACATGCATGATTAGAAAGTGGTAATCCTGGTTTTCTTTTTGAAGAATGTGAAATCAACATTTAAAAGGCAATGGAAAGCCTCATTAGTTTAGATTTTACCAATCCAAAATTTTGTAATATTCAATCTGAAGTTTGCCTTCATGTTTTGGAGAAAAATAGCAACTAGTTTAAAATTGATATAAAATGACTCAATGTTGATATTAACATACTTCCTAATTGGAATTCATAAACAACTTATTCATTCATTGCCTGATGTCCCTTAGAATCTGATGACAGTGCACTTACGACTTGTGAACAGCTGAGCCTGGAAAATATTCCCATTTGACAGGGATATTGTGGCTATATGGTGGATTATTTTTAGAATTAACACCAATACTGTAAAAATTTTCTGATTGCTACATTCTTTGACCACATTTTTTTGCAAATATTTTCCATTTCTTTCATCAGATTACATTAACTTGTAAATGAAACATAGGGCTGAATAGAGAATTCCTTTCTCATTGAGTCCAAATTTCTGCAACTGTTAAATTTTTTTCTTCATGGAATGTTTTTGGTTTTGAAAATAAAGTATGAATTCCTTAGTTTCTTACTGTCTTAACTGTACAGTAAGACAGTAAACATATTTATAGAATATATTTTGAGTACTACACTTAGCTAGGTTTCTAGTTGTAATTTTTATATTGTGATCCAAATTTTTGTTATTGTATCTGGCAAACATTTTAAAACTCTTATACTATTAAACTAATCTTAGTAAGATTTTATTAATGAGGGCCGGGCGCAGTGGTTCATGCCTGTAATCCTAGTACTCTGGGAGGCCGAGGCAGGTGGATTGTTTGAGCTCAGGAGTTCCAGACCAGCCTGAGCAAGAGCGAGATCCCATCTCTACTCAAAAAATAGAAAGAAATTAGCTGGACAACTAAAAGTATATATGTAAAAAATTAGCCGGGCATGGTGGTGCATGCCTGTAGTCCCAGCTACTCGGGAGGCTGAGGCAGTAGGATTGCTTGAGCCC